GTCTGAATTAATCCAAGGTGCCCTGATGGGAACATCTCTTTACTTTATCACTCATTATCTTTCTGCATAATGTGAATAACTAAGCCTTTCAATAGTCCCGTCATCTGAGTCACTCTTTGAAATATGACATTACTAAAGAACTGTATTTGATCCCAGTTTTAGACCTTGTAGAGAAGAAACCATGCTGGGTTGAATGAAGGTGTCAAACAGGAATAGGTCCTGGCAGGGAAATCTATAGCAAAGTGCCAACTCATTCTGCACTGGGGCGGTGTTACCAAGATGACCTTGGAGGCATTCAGCAACATTCTAAGTGTGCGGTTCATGTATCTTGAGTTCTCAGAGACTGATTTTCGTTCCTTGGCCAATACTGTTTATTCACTTCTGTTTTAAAGGTTATTATGAAGAAAAACACTTGCCTTCTCACTGCATATAGGCAGGCTTGGGGAATGGTATTACTTGTGCCTTTTAAAAATATATATATATTGACAGTAGTTGCCTGATAATGTATTCTTCTAAATTATTCTATAAAGAAAAATAGTTAAGATGTATTGGGAGTTGCTTTACATAAAAGAGCAACTTCAATATTGACCCTGAACTAAATTAAACTAATTGTTCTAGTTTCAAGTAATAAAACATGAGGGGCAGGAAACTTTGTCTTTTTAGTTATTCCTGTGCATCTTTGCTTTGGAAATATTTTTACCAAATTAGAAAACTCATAAGAAAGAAATGTTTTGCTATATTTATGTTGGTATTTCAAAATACATATTTTACAAAGTATTTTAGTTTCTAAACTATAGAGTTAATTACCTCTTGATGATTATGAGAATAGCCCCAATACTTGAAGTTATTCAGGTTTCTTCATTATTATATTGTTTAAAGACATTGAAAGAAAAGAACAAATAACAAATCCTGACTGATATATAAGGTTTTACAAAAATGAAGCCACTTATAAAGATTTATTAAATAAAATTATTCACAAATAACTAAAATATACTAAAGTCTCCATTTTCACTATTATCTTTGAAATCTGTTTTATCAACTAAGAGATATATAATAGAGATGTTAGAAATTTTATAAGCTCGAATATATCAGAAAAAATAACCCACTAAATTTAAATGACATTATTGGAATAATTAGATTTAGATTTATGTTATTGATAAAATGATATAAATTATAATAATATGATCAATTTTCACAAATATATCAAGGAATCCCAGAATTCTGTACAGCAATAGCCTCAAGTCACTTCTGAAATCTGTGCAGGACATTTCAAGGTGTATTCTTACACTGGGCTGTGGAAATATTAAGGATGGATGTATATAAAGAGATTTTCATAGAGTTTGTCAACAGCAGAACTTTGCTAAATAATTCTAAAGCAAATGTTTTATTCAGAAGGAAAAATAAAAGTGGATTTAAAAAATACTCATATTAAAAGATAGAAAAATGAAATTAAAACAATACCAATAGAAAATATAAGATAGCACTATATATATAAAATACATATAACAGAAATCAGTTTAAATGCTCCAGCAAAAGGTAAAGGTTGCTATTAGGCTAAAAAAATATATCCAAATTTATACTGTTTTCAGGAAACACATGTAAAATATAAGAATCAAAATGCTGTAATCCAGGAAAAAAATATATGTATATTCAATTCAATAGAAACTGTCGTGGCTATATCAGTATAAGAAAAAAGAGCCTTTAAGGTAGAAAGTAATACTGTCTATCTGTATGAAAACTTCATGATTAAAGTTTCAATTTACCAGAAATATACAGCAATTTTAAATTGTCGTGCATCCATGAATATAGGTTACAATTTATCTTTGAGTCAAGGTTCTCCAATTGCAAATGACAGAAAGAATATCTAACTAATCTAAGTAGAATGAAAATTTTTGATACAATCTATACTGATCATCTCACAATGTTGAGAGGGAAGAAGGACAATTGGGAAGTAAATAGGAATTCTTGACTTTAAGACCAGCAACCAAGAATATGATACAAGGAGCAGTCAGGTTACCCTGCCACAGTGGACACAGCTGGCACTGCAGGGCACATTCGTTGCTGCTGGACACAGGAGCAGCCTCCACCAGATGTCCTCGACACTTCCTCTGCATCTGCCTCTGTGAATCTGTTATACGCTCTCATTTCTTTTTTTTTTTTTGTCTTTTTTCGTGTCCGGCAACGGATCGCAACCCTCAGTGTCGCGCCCGTACCAGACCGGGACCGGCAACGGGATCGCAACCCTTGGTGCTGCGCCCGCACCTCGCTCAGCCAGTGAGCGGGAACCGGTCTGTATGTGGGATGCGAACCCTCGGCGGGAGCACTGCCGCGCTTCCCAAGCGGCAGACTGTAGCAGTGCACCACCGGGCCAGCCCTATGCGCTCCCATTTCTAACTTTATGCTACTTGTTTAACATCAGAGGTCAGGGTAGGGGTATCTCTTTTTGTCCCAGATTCTAAAGAGATAAGGGAAGGAGTATCTATGCCCTTGGGCTTCCTTATAGGGAATAATGCAATATTGTACCCCCATTTGAGTTTAGTTTTGTTTTGATTAGAAGTGGGGGAGGGACTTCAAACTTTTTAGGTAATTGCCTCAATTTACTGAGACACTGAGTATATAATTTCTTAAGAAATGACCTCATAACATGAATTTATTATTTTATTTCTTATTGTTTTACAGAACTGAAAATATAGCCAAAGTGTCTTTAACAGTTTTCTGTGTCTGGCTACACACACACACACACACACACACACACACACACACACATCTAGCTGGGTATTCAGTAAAACTAAATGAAATTAGAAACAAAGAAATACTAGGATAAAATATTTCCGTAGCATATAATAGAATAAAAATTTTCCTCAAATCTATAGCTTAAGGTTCAAAGACTCAATTTTTCATGAAAATTAGTACTTTAACTTACTTTTTCATACCTAACTCTGAATGGAATTTCTGAATTATTGATTTGTTTACAAGAAAATTTCCTAAAACAATCTTCATAGTTAAGAGTATGAAATTCAATTTCTCAAAAACAGATAGCTCTTCTCACATTCCTGCCATCCCACTCCTCCCTCACATGTCATATAGTATTGAGACCTTTGTACATGGAGCTCTTCCTACCTCTAATGCCTTAGACTAAACTAGTCATGAAGAAGCAGCTGGCAGTCTGACAGGGAGAGGCAAGTTGACAGCTTTTCAGCAGATATCAAGCAATACTGTGATTCCAGTGTCAGTCTGGATTTGACTTTTAATTTAAGAAGTATCTTGATGCAAGTTTACAAACAATAAAATGGTGCTACAAAACTGATTTTGTCTTATTTAATGTTGAACAAGAGCCTGTTGCCCAGAAGGCAGAATTATTTTAAGAAAGCATCACTGCTCTACCTCTAGGAATATTGACAGTGCTAAAAATAAATCAATTTCACTAGTTCGAGATATTGTACTTGGTTCAGAATGAGAAGATGATGCTTAATAAGAAAATTGGATTGCTATGAATATAGAATTTCTATTGATATGGTTAGTTACCAACTTGGATAAAAGTATATGATACCTGTGTGTTTGGGGGGGGGGTCACTCATGCATACACATCTATATACATAAATCACAAATATATCAATAAATATATAAAAAGAGCATTGGTGCATTGTGTCTTATTTCTTTTATACAAAAACAAGGGCTATACCTACTCATAAAAATATTTAGAGAATAGAAATGACAACATATTTTGATTTTACATAAAAACAAGTACACTCAACGTACCATTATTAGTGATAGATAGAATCATATATTGATAATGTGGTAAATATTATCAACCTAATAAAAATGTTTGACACTATTTAAATGTGACCAGCTGATGAAAACAACTTTTGTTAGATACACTGCAAATTTCAATATACTGTTTTCAGTGTATTAGATTGTATTAGACAATGAAGGAAGCATAGTATCCTTCATTATTTCTTAGCTTTCAAATTAGTCAGTTTATAAGATACTATGCTAAACTTAACATATAATCAAATATTTATAAAGAGACTTTGGGTAATAATGTCTTAGGGTAGTAAATATAAAGTACTCAATCCTTCCTGTGCCAGATTGTCGGTAAAGTTTGCATTACTACTATGCCAGGTACTAAATTTTTTCATCTCTTAGAATCCCATTCCCTAAGTGGTTCCAGATTAGCATTTCCAATGAGCAGTCCTCACACTTGATAAGACAAGCAGAAGTAAAGAGAGATCATGTGCTCTCATTAGATCCTGGTCTCTAAACATGGCTGCTTGCTACTCAGATTTCTCTGGCATTTCCAGCTTTCCTGTTGCATGCTTCCCTGTTGCAAGTTGAGATGCATAGGTGTATAGCAATCCCACTTCTGGGTATATACCCAGAGGAATGGAAATCATCATGTCAAAGGGATATCTGCACTTCCATGTTCATCACAGCTTTGTTTAGAAGAGCCAAGACATGGAACCAACCTAAATGTCCATCGATGGATGATTGGATAAGGAAACTGTAGTATATGTGCACCATGGAATACTACTCTGCCATAAAAAAGAGTGAAATTCTCCCGTTTGCAACATGGATGAGTTTGGAGAAATTTACATCGAGTGAAATAAGCAAAGCATAGAGGGATAAATACTGCATGTACACACTCATAAGTGGGAGCTAAGAGAGAAAGTAGGAAGGAAAGAAAGACCACAGTGGTGCATTGGACTTGCAGAGGGAGAGAATATACCTTAGGATACAAAGTGGAGTAGGAGGGGTGAAAGGGGGAGGGGGAGGAGGTGGGGGATAATTGGGTGGGGGACACACGGTACAAGCGCATTGTGGTAATGGGCAAGCTGCCAGTGTGAATCTGGCCTTCTCATCTTGGACACGAGAGATGACAACCAGCTCTGTATCTCATGAATATTCATAACCAATAAAAAAAATACTAAAAAAAAAAGATAAATGGGAATTGTGGCTTTTTCTAAGCAAACTTTGGATAACCATTTTCTTCTGTTGTCTAGGATGCTGTCTTCTATGATCATTTCCCTGAACTTCCAGTGACAACCATCATGATCTACACAGCCTCTGCTCATTCCACATGTCTGTAAGCCCTAACTCCCTTGTTAAACTCTTTTGTCTCATAGTACTTAGTGTGGTTCTGTTAACTTGACAATATCCAGAAAGATAAACTCACTAAAAGATGTAATATGTAGACCTTAATGACAACCATTGAAGATCTCTCTTATGGAAATAAAGTATCTGTATAGCATCTAGGTACTCGCAGTCTTTGTTTGTGATATCAAGGAAGTGCTAACATATTATCCAAATAAACAACAATCGAAAAAATCAAAAAGCAACTACCAAATAAACAAAAAAACCCCTTTGGAATGACCTCAATTTTATTCCTTAGTAGCCCTTCTTGGTAATTTTTTTTTTTTTTTTTTTACTTTGGAATACTTGAAGTGGTATTGCTCTAAATGGCAGGAATCATATATATCTTATTGTGAATAACAAATCTAGGGCTGTATTCTCTTCTCAAACCATGCTTTTCTAATGTGTTTTATTAATTTTTACTTATATCTGGTTTCAACTACTCTCTCCAAGCAGAGAAAGATTATTATCTTTTGAGAGACTTAAAACACATCTTTTTAAAATAAAGACTTAAACATTTTTTTAAAATAAAAACATTAGTGATCCATTTTTGAAAAAGTAAATGAGGGAGGTCTGTTTCATAATCAAATAATATTTTGTCCCTTCTCTTTTAATATAAACCACTATAAGGGCAAAGTGCAAGACTTTTCTATCAACATAAACATCTTTTGTCTTCTCCACCACAGTGTGTAGCACCATACTTTGCATATACATAGGTGCTCTCTATATGTTGGTAATTAAAACAATAAAGTTTAGTTTCAAGCAAGGTGAGAAACAGGGAGGTTGGACAGAGTGCAATACTGGGTAAACTAGAAAAACTATGGTCACATTGTACTAACTGCACAAATGTGCTAGGACCAATCTGTGGCATGGTAAGAATAAGAAAAGAACAAAATGTATTCTATCTTTAATAGAAGGCTATAGTCTATCTTTAATTAACCTATTACATATACATGTGTAATTACATATACACACATCTGTATTGAAAACAAGCCATCATATTTTACTTCCTGAACTTGCCCAAGTGATTACATGTTTTATAAACGTTGATGCTTACAATAATCTTATATAGAAGAGCTAGCCACTAGTTACATAATCAAATTTAAACTTCTCATATATAATTTTCTCTAAGAAACTTTTCCATCGCAAATTGAATTGCTTCTCCCCTCTCTGTGACCCCACTTTATATTATGCCAAACTTTATCATAGCTATTTTAACAATTTATTGTACTTACTGCTTTACTGAACTGTTGCACTTCTACACCGTGTATGTCCTGGAGAGAGAAAATAAGAATTAAAAGTATTTGCGTCTACATTACTATAGTCCCTAGAAAATTGTTCAATGAATGAATAAATGTTTCTCAATGGATAAATGGAGACATTGTTTTTCCCTCTACAGAGTGTACATTAAACATAATAAGGCTTGGAATAGAATGGCCATAATTCATAAACCAATCAAGGAGACTATAAAGGGAGAGGACACAGATAAGGATAACAAAGAATATTTGGTTCACAACTCCATAAGTAGATTAGAAAACCTCCTTCCAAATCTTCACACACTATGTCAGCTTGTCCCACAATTTTATGTTTGAAAACTTGTAGTTGAGAAGGTATTTTGGAAAAAGACATGGAGGGTAAAAGAGAGTATAGAGAAGATGGTGATGTATCTATTTCCTTTGTGGCATCGACAAAGAAACTTGAGCACCTATGATCAAGGGGTGAGGGCCACAAGTTCTCAGGATCTCAGAGGAAACTTTGCAAAGTCTGTGTCCATAAGCCCAGCTACTTTCGTGTTCAGGTGACCACACATGACAATAGGTTGAGAGAAAACCCTTTTTTTTTCTGCCTTGAGAGTGAAATCTGCATCATTCTGACTCTACCAGGAAGAGAGGTACTTACAACTCTGCACAACGGCTTTCCTGGTGGTGAAACTGGAATTTCAGGATGGTGATCGGCAGTGGCGAGGCTTTCCAAGCAACAGTGTGCAAAGCATGTGTGAGCAAGTGGTAGCTGAAGAAGAGGAGGGAGAATAGGATAGCACGGTGTGAGGACTGCGGTGCATAAATTCACAAATGTGTGTGTGCAAAAGTCTCTTCTGAGATGCCCAGAATAAGTACAGTACAAGATGCTGCAGAAGAAAGAGTTGTGCTCACACCATTATATAGGTCAGAGCTATCAAACCAAAAGTCATTTGAGGAAAAAGATTGACAAGTAGTTTTGAGAGCCCAGCTGAAATTGGAAACTATAAATCTGCCTCACCTGGCAGAATTATGTGATTTTTTTTTTTTCTCCAGGAAAGCTCAGCAGCCCAGAAGATGGAAAATGTTTGTGATTAGATAGATTCAGGTTGTGAGTATGTTTAGATGGAGCCAGAAGGAAAGCAGGAGAAAAGGGGATTTGAAGATAAGAATGACAAAAAGGTAACAAACATTATGATGAATTTCATTAGGAAAGTAAATACAAGAAGCATGATATGAAAATATATATATATATATATATATATATATATATATA